AGTTTAAAAAATCAGTTTATTTATATTTCAGTTTATTTTAACACTCTGCAGACGTTAAAAAACAACAGTATTATTCTTGCAGACTGCAGACTTTTAGTCCATCTCTTCTACTGCAGATGCATGTAGATGTGGTCCGCAGATTATACACTTTTTACCTTTATAAAAACAAATACCACCTAAGTGAAAGACACATCCTTCTAGGTATATATATGAGGATTACGTTGCAGGGTGGGAGATGGGAGTTTTAAATAGATCCATCTCCTGAAAGAGTAATGGAAAGAGTTTTAACATAACAAATAATAAAATATGTACGAACTAAATTATTTTAGTAATTAAATTTATTATTATCGTTTGAAAATCTGGATTCAAGTATTGTAAATATAAGAATATAAATGTCAATTATTAAATGATTAAAAAATATTTAAAGAGATTTTATCTAGTATTCACTGTAACATTATCAAAATAATAATAATAGTAAAGATGTTTACTTTACGCCACATACAAACCATTATCAAAGCCCAATCAAGTTAATATCTTTACTATCAAATTTTCAAATACCCTAAAAATATTAAAGATTCAAAATTTTTATTTTCTGTTGATTTTCTTAACCATCTAAACAAAAGAATATGAACCGAATATAAAATAAAATAATCATGATTCCACAATAAAAATATATACGAAAATAATATATATATATATATATATATATATATATATATCAAATTTTCAAATACCCTAAAATATTAAAGATTCAAAATTTTATTTTCTGTTGATTTTCTTAACCATCTAAACAAAAGAATAGAACCGAATATAAAATAAAATAATTCATGATTCCACAATAAAAATCATATATATGACGAAAATAATATATATATATATTATATATATATATATATACAACGAAGAGATTAATAAAAAATATTTTCAAGACTCATACAAGTAAAATAAAAACTTGAGTTTAATTTAATAGATTTAGTAAAATGATCAATTGATATTAAAATAATTTTATTAAATCAATTAAATATGTGAGATATTATAGTAATTATAAATTATATTCGTTTTAAAAGTTTCCCTAATTATTTAAATTCATATTCTTATGAATCACATTCTTTGCTATTATTAAGATCATTTACTTAAATCAACTCCATTAATTATAAAATTAATCATAGGTCATTTTTTCCCCAACCGAACTCGTCGCATTCCTTTCTCTATTACTGTATTGATGTGCCCCCATCAACACCTTTTGCTTTGGATATCTCATCGAACGGTTGATATTTACTTTAAATCATACGACATCATGGTATGGGGAACACCTTATTTTCCTACTTTTTCCCATGCCGGCACGCATCTCTTAATCGCCAAGCTTATCTAGTTTTGAACTACACTATTCCACTCGTGTAGCAGCGCGTGTATTTATTCCTCTTTACATTCATCCGTTTTAATACTCAGCTTTCAATCTATAAGTATTACATTTACATAGTAGACTTTCGTTTTATTAGCGGAGATATCAAAATCTCCGAACAAAATCATATAATTAAAATATATTTTTATTCTTTGTACATTTCATAATCAATTATTTATTAAATTTATTAAGAGATTACAACATTAAGTAAATATTTTTTTAGAACTTTTGAGTTTAAATAATTATATTTATAATGTATGTTATCAATAGTTAAGAAAAATTTAAATAAATATTATTTTATAATTATCACAAATTATTAAAAATTAATTATTTATTAGATTGACGTTCAAAACACACTTTAAAATCGATAAATCGAGAAAAATTATATTTAAACAAGACAATCCAAACACAATAATAACTCATATTGAATGAAATACGAACATAAAAAAACTCTTAAACAACAACAAGATATAAATCGACAACATTCATAAAATGGTGATAAGTATTAAACAATAAATAAATATTTTTTTTAAAATTTTAAATGAATTATATTAAATCTTGTTATGTTTGTTTTTAAATAATGTATGCATAATTATACTTATTTTAATTAATTTACATGAAATATATTAACAATGATATGTAAGCATTAACTGTGTAAAAGGGTAACATTTTTTAATTATATTTCACCAAAACTTGTAATTTCCTTTATATTGATTTATTAAACAATTTTAAATATACATTTTTACTTTCAACGTTTCTTTCACCGTCACAAAATCTAATATAATATTCTTTAATTATTTTATATATTTTTATTTTTTACATCAAAATTGACAGAAGAAGTAAGATGTGCACGCGCTTAAATCGAGACGAAGATTAGCAAGATAAGGCTAAAGACAAATAAATACATATTTATTTGTTTATTATTTTCCTTTGTTTCCTCTTATAAATATCTTACGCAAAACTGTAATCTCATCACGATTTCGCTTTCTTACCTCGAACGCCGAACAGAAGCCCGTCTCTCTCTGATCTTCCTCTTTCTCTTCCCCTTTTGTTTTAGATAGAAACAAGGATAAGGAGATCAATCGACAGCAATTTTGCTGCAACACCTCAATCCTTCACTTACTTCTTCGTCCGAACAGAATTACAACCCTGCTCTATCTGTATGCTCTATTTTTTCATTCTCTGGATTATCTTTTTTACCGTTTCATTGGAGCTTGATTTCCTATCTTCGATCCAGTTTAAGTATTGAGCCAATATTTTTATTTAGGACTTTAATTTGATTATTTAATGTTCTCTGTCAAACTTACCTCTTCTTTTATTAATAAATTAATGTCATATATTTTCTAAAAATAATAAGATGATTATTGGACTTATCAATCTATTTTAAAATAGTCAATGTGATGTTATAATAAGTGTAAAAGTTTAATGATTATTTATAATATTTTGATAAAAATGTAATGGTCGTTCTATATGGCCCAAAATTTTATATGTTCTAATTTCGCCTTTAAACTTTTAATGTTTTAGGGGGAATTATTGGAATGTTCGAAAGTTGTAGATCAATTTAGAAGGGGGTATCTAGGGGTAGATTTGAATATTCAAAAGTTTGAGGATCAATTAATATGAGTCATAATTTAGGGATAAATTAAAGTGTTCAAGTGTTTAAGGTTAATTAATTTAGAATAATGTTATAGTTTGAACAATTAACTCATAAAATACTAGAAGGGTCATAAGCTCCAAAGAATAAAAAATTAAAGAGAGATTTCGAATAGATTTTTAATGGGTCTAGGGGTGGGTTAAATTGAAATAGCCACGTGGCGATAATGTGAGGGTAGTGGTACTAATCATAGGAGAGAGGGGAATGGGAGGAGGCATATAGGCGGCATTTGGTTCAAGAAAACCATGTGAATACATGGGCTTTCTGTGGGTCCCCTATCTTTCTCTGGATACTTGACCTTTAAATATAATATAGAACCCTAACCTCATTAAATTGTTTAGTGGAAAAGAACGGGGAAGGTGGGTGATGTTTCCGAACGTCAAACCCGTGGGTAATGTTTATATTTCCCTTCTTTTTTTGTTTTTAATAAAGCTATAGGAGAGGAGTAGGGGTAGTTGGGGGGAAACGGATTGGGGCATTTATGACATTTAATGGAAGGCGCGTCCCCGAGGATGCGTCTTCCACACGTGGCATCTGAGTCATCAGAATCCCGCGAAAGCGCGTCCCAGGGGATGCGCCTTTGAGCCACGTCAGCCGAATGGGTGCTACTTCGGGAAATATTGGTCAACGGGTGTTAAAAAGGGAATATTACAGACAAAAGGTGTTAGTTAAGTAAATTCGCCGTTTTATTAGCGGATATGGGGTTGTAAATGAGAGGAGACAGATCGTGAGCTACTCGAGATCGACTCGGTCAAGGCTCGATAAATACTCAGATCGAATGAATTTGACTCGAGCTCGAGCTCGACTCGAATTCTTAACGAGCCGAAATGAGCTACTTGATACTCGACTCGAAAAGCTCGTGAGCAGCTCAAAAATATGATATATTAAGATTTTATTTTTTTAAATAAATTATTAATAATATTAACATTTATGTGTTAATTTTTTAAAAAAAATACAATTTTCATGTATTTAAGGTTCATGTTTGAGTTTGAGACTTCAATCTAGTTAAGTTTAAGGTTTTTTTTCATTTCGATCCTTTTCGAGCTGCTCACGAGCTTCGGTTCAGGATTTCGAGTTCGAGTCGAGCTTAAAAATTTTAAGCTCGCCAGTTTTTGAGTCGAGTCGAGCTCAACAATACTCGAACTCGACTCGGCTCGTTTACACCCCTAAGCGGATATGTCAAAATCTTCTAAACAAAATCATATAATTAAAATATTATTTGTATCCTTTGTACATTTTAAAATCAATTATTTTATTAAATTTATTAAAAGATTACAATAATTTAAGGAAATATTTTTTTAGAACTCTTAAATTTAAATAATTATATTTATAATGCATGTTGTCAATAGTTAAGATTTTGTTTTTTAAAAATACTATTTTATAATAATCACAAATTATTTAAAAATTAATTATTTTATTAAATTGACGTTCAAAACACACTTTAAAATCGATAAATCAAGAAAAATTATATTTAAACAAGACAATCCAAACACAATAATAACTCATATATTGAAGGAAATACCAACATAAAAAAACTCTTTAACAACAACAAGAGATAAATCGACAACATTCATAAAAATGGTGACAAGTTATTAAACAATAAATAAAAATATTTTATTAAAATTTTAAATGAATTATATTAAATCTTGTTATGTTTGTTTTTAAATAATGTATGAAAAATTATACTTAATTTTAATTAATTTACATGAAATATATTATAACAATGATATGTATGCATTAACTGTGTAAAAGGATAACACTTTAATTATATTTCACCAAAACTTGTAATTTGCCTGTATATTGATTTATTAAACAATTTTAAATATATACATTTTTACGCGTTGAATCGAGACGAAGATTAGCAAGATAAGGCTAAAGACAAATAAAATATATATTTATTTGTTTATTATTTTCCTTTGTTTCCTCTTATAAATATCTTACGCAAAACTGAAATCTCATCACGATTTCGCTTTCTTACCTCGAACGCCGAACAGAAGCCTCGTCTCTCTCTGATCTTCCTCTTTCTCTTCCCCTTTTGTTTTAGATAGAAACAATGGATAAGGCGATCAATCGACAGCAAATTTTGTTGCAACACCTCAATCCTTCACTTACTTCTTCGTCCGAACAGAATTACAACCCTGCTCTATCTGTATGCTCTATTTTTTTCATTCTCTGGATTATCTTTTTTACCGTTTCATTGGAGCTTGATTTCCTATCTTCGATCCAGTTTAAGTATTGAGCCAATATTTTTATTTAGGACTTTAATTTGATTATTTAATGTTCTCTGTCATACATTACCTCTTCTTTTATTTAATAAATTAATGTTTGAAAAAAAATCTTCAGGCATCGGTTTGTTTGGCTGGAGATAGCGCTTCTTATCAACGAACTAATTTATTTGGAGATGACGTGGTTATAGTAGCGTAAGTAACTAGTTTGAATTTATTGATCTATAGTTATTGCAATTTTTTGTTATAAAATAACTGAGGTTGTGTTTGTGAATTTGGATTTCAGGAATACTAAGTTGTGTGATAAAGTAGTATATAAGTATAACATTCATGGTTGTTGCTATAACTAATTGTGAAATTCCCATTTTTATAGCTTTCAAATATATAATCATGGTAAAGTTTACTGATTTTTGTATTTTATATATATCATATTCACAAGTAGTAAACTAAACTTAAATCCAAATTTTCAAATACATGATTTCCAACTTAACATAAGATTTTATTTTTATTTTTTGTTTAATGGGTGTCTTAATTTTACAGAGCTTATAGGACTGCCCTCTGCAAATCAAAGCGAGGTGGTTTCAAAGATACTTATCCTGATGATTTACTTGCACCTGTTTTAAGGGTTTGTATCTTTTTCTGTTCTTTTAAATGGTTTTTCTTGTTTTTTAATTTTTCAAGTGATTTATATCCTTTTATTTTGTTGTTATGGGTATGTTGAGATCAGGCAGTGATAGAGAAAACAAACTTGAATCCGAGTGAAGTTGGGGATATTGTTGTTGGAACAGTCTTGGCACCAGGATCTCAACGGGCCAGTGAGTGCAGGATGGCTGCTTTCTATGCCGGCTTCCCTGGTATACATAGATATTGTTAATTATGTGTTGTTACTGGTTCGTGTTTATTTTAGTGTTTTGTTGGTTGATTGTAGCACATTTTTGGTGATACAGAAACTGTGCCTGTTAGAACTGTGAACAGGCAATGCTCATCTGGGCTTCAGGCGGTTGCTGATGTAGCCGCTGCAATAAAAGCAGGGTTTTATGACATTGGTAGGAGATATTCCTTTCTCTCTTTATACAATGTTTGCACTATATTTATTACTCACCACTTGTAATTAATGTAGGCATTGGGGCTGGGTTGGAATCCATGACCTCTAATCCAATGGCTTGGGAAGGATCAGTTAACCCAAGGGTACTCTCTCTCTCTCTTTTTGTGTGCTTACATCTATTTATCATTCCTATGTTACTAAAACTTGGTTTGTCAAATATGGATATATATTGTATGCCTGGTACGTTCAATTTTTTGCAAGTTTTTCATATATTTGGAGGGTATTTGGTGGATCATATCCTCATATGTATCTAGCCTTGATCACGAGTGTGAGATATGGATACTTTTGGAAAAGTCGAGAGCCAGAGCAACAAATTCTCATTCACCAATATCTTATGAATACTGGGATTTTAATTCCTGGTATGATCTTTTGCTGATTTTGTGCAGGCGAAGCAGATGGAGCAAGCTCAGAATTGTCTCCTTCCAATGGGTGTTACATCGGAGAATGTTGCTCATCGCTTTGGTGTGACAAGGCAGGAGCAAGATCAGGCTGCTGTAAGTTGAATGATTGCTGTGTTGTATCATATGGTGTTGCAAGTTATCTATATAAATTTAATTTCTTTGATGCTGGTTGTTAGGCTGAATCACACAGGAAAGCAGCAGCTGCTACAGCTTCTGGTAAATTTAAAGATGAAATAATCCCTGTGAAAACCAAGGTAGTTACATCTTTTTCCATTTTTTTCCACCTTGTAAATTCAATCTATGTTTCATACTCTTATGTAAATCTTTGTGTCAGTATTCTCATGTTTGGATTGTAACATTTCTTGTATGAAGATTGTTGATCCAAAGACTGGGGACGAGAAACCTGTCACAATCTCTGTTGATGATGGTATCCGACATAACACTTCAGTGTCAGATCTGGCAAAACTAAAGCCTGTATTCAAGAAAGATGGGAGCACCACTGCTGGTATTGACTAATGTGCCATTTTCTCACTGGAATTCTTTTCTGCTCTGATGGTTTTATCTTATTTGTTTGAATTTTGTTTGTATTGTAGGAAATTCTAGTCAAGTGAGTGACGGTGCTGGGGCTGTTTTGCTCATGAAAAGAAGTGTTGCCATGCAGAAAGGGCTGCCAATTCTTGGTGTATTCAGGTGTGTAATGGCTGGTTTTATGTCCTGATATATATCTTATAGATGAATTTTGAACAGTGACCTCATGATGTTCGTATAGCCAGTATAAAGTCAGAACTCTCTGCTCTGCTACATCTGCTGTCCTTTGGACTTTTGTAGTGCCTACCACAATCTTATTGTTTTGAATATATTCCGTAGTGAAGGCTATATTCTAAGCTTTGATTTCTTGCTTTATGTGGTTCCTAAATAGCATATTAGTGTTTACATTCACTTGTTACCAGCCCATGATACTTGGACTCAGGTGTCAGTGTTGGACATGGGTATGTATCCGACACGGGTATGGCTAGATTTTCCCCAGTTTTCCTATATATTTTTGAGGATCCTTAGGGATTTATTCTCATATACAAGTATCAGACACAGCATGACACAGGTACTTTATGAAAAATGAAGAGTTTGAGTAACATTTGCTAGTAAAACATGCGTGACTGGTCCTAGAAGATGCAGCTGTGTGTGGCAGTTGCCTTCTATGACTCGGACTCGGGGCCTGAGTGTTGGATATGATTGTCTCGAATACAAGATGCTCAATTTTTGAAGTTCTTTCATGTATCTGAAAGGTCTTGGCGAGTCATGTTCCCATACGCATGTCCTTATTTGTGTTGGACTTGGAGATTTCAAGAAAATGAATAGTTGTAGGTTGCTGTGTGTCTTAGAAACTCTCTTTTTCCTGACCGTATACTTTACCTTATAGCTTTCTTTAAGTTTTAATGAGAAAAAATCATTTAGGGTTATTTGTTCTATTGTCAACAACTCATTCCCTGAACTAATGAGAAACATGATATTTTCTATTAATTTAATAAGCAATTGTTTCTCATGCAGGACTTTTTCTGCGGTTGGTGTGGATCCGGCTATCATGGGTGTTGGCCCAGCTGTGGCAATTCCAGCAGCAGTTAAAGCTGCTGGTCTCGAACTTGATGATATTGATCTTTTTGAGATAAATGAGGTACACTATAGTTTTTCACATAGTTGCAAATTCATTAGTTAAAAAGAATATTATACACGGAAGCCTCTAATTTATTCATGTGTTGCAGGCATTTGCATCTCAGTTTGTATACTGCCGCAAGAAGCTGGAACTAGATCCGCTAAAGATTAATGTTAATGGAGGTGCAATGGCAATTGGGCATCCATTGGGTGCAACAGGTATTTTAACACGATAATCTTTTTCCTTATTATTGTCATTATCTGCTATAGTTTCTGAAGGTAATCCACTAAAGATTATATCTTTCGAGTAAAGTGTGCACTTAGAGAATGTGCTTAAGCAAAGGCGATACCTGATTAATATGTATTTTCTTTTATTTTTAACTTTTTCCATCATGTACTTCTACTAGATGTCAAACGACAAATAATTTCCGGCCTTGCATTTGCAGTAAAGGGGTATAGTGTGTTAGAGTGGATCCTGCACCCTCGACATTTATGCTTTATTAATTAAAAAGGAATATGTTAGAGTTTTAATTCCCAATATTTGTGTATTCAATAAGAAAATTTTTACATGTTTTGTACGGTAATATAAGATCACTCTTTAAGTTTTTTTTCCGCAATTATGTATTTTGTGCCTATAAACAGAAACACGTGGAAACGCATATAGTATCTTCGGTCGGGACTGCTTTTTGTATGGATCTTGTGTTTGGAATGCATGTTGTGCCTTTGATAACATTGATCTTTGTCCATCGGCAGTAAAGTAAGATCAGCATGCAAATGTAATAGACTAACAATTAATTTAGTTGTGTCGTGGGCTGTGTTTTTTGTGTCATAATTATATTCAAGATATTTTATATTTATACATATGTTATTATGTTACTGGTTTGTTTTGTGTATATTTTGACATATTCTTGTATTTGTGTTTCTTTTCCCATTCCATGTGTGTTGGTTAATTTTTCCAATGTCACTGTATGTAAACTTTTGTGCTTTTGTTGAAGGTGCTCGTTGTGTTGCTACACTTTTGCACGAAATGAAGCGGCGTGGCAAAGACTGCCGCTTTGGCGTGATCTCAATGTGCATAGGTACCATTCTTTCCTTATCACTTTCCCCTGCTGAAATATCTCTGGTTGAATGTTGAGCATAAATTTTTACCACTGAAATGCCAGGCACTGGGATGGGGGCAGCAGCTGTTTTCGAGAGAGGTGATAGAACGGATGAGCTTTGCAATGCTCGGAAAATTGATAGTAACAACCTCTTATCCAAGGATGCCCGTTAGATTGGTGTGACATTCATTCTAAATTGTGGTGCGAACTTTGAATAAAAGAGTGTAATAAGCGCCGCTATATCCACTTCCTCTTGAGAATTTTAATTTGCTGCTCTATATATTTTCATGAATTACTCGGATCAATTTGCTAGACTATTTGTTCTTGAAAATGCTAGTAGTAGTGTTGAATACCGAAGAGAGTACAATTTTATTGTTAAATTTGATCATCAGTTGATCATAACATCAGAATTGAGTTATCACTTAAAGAGTTAATTACATTTGAGTGGATTATCATAATTATAAAATAAATAATTCGATTATAACTTAAAAGAGTTAATATAAGTTACGTATTTAACGATAAGATAAATTTAAGTATTATAATTGATAATCAAAGGAACTTAATTTTCATTTGAATAGTCTGGTAATAATAAAGAAATATCTATCTAGAATATTGAGAAGAGACATACAACTGCAGAGTTAATATATAATTGCATTCCCAAACTTACTCGTGATATAATGAACACACACGTAGCAGAAGATTAAATACCATTGATGGTGTTTTGATGGGTTACAAAAGGATATGAATAAGAGAAGTTACAAGACACAACATCCAACTTCAAACTCCATCATCATCTTTCCCCATCTTCCACAACGCTGTACTCTAGCAGCTTCTTTTCCCTGCAAAAGTTCATTAGAAAGTACCATCCAATGGCGCCCACAGTCATGACTCCACTAATCAAAAACACTATTTTAGTGGCAATAACCATGATAACCACAAGGAATGCTGATGGTATTAAGCACATTAAAACCAGCCCTGGAATCCTTAGAGGAACCCTGTAAGGTCTCTTTATTGCAGGCAACTTTCTCCTCAACCAAACAAAAGATGCAAATTCCAGCAGCATTCCCAAACTGTACAGGAAATTCGCCGACGATATGATATCGGTGAAATTCATGTACGACATTCCGATTGTGATCAAAGTGGAGATCAGTATCCCCACCCAAGGTGTGTTGAACCATTTGGATCTGCTGCTGAAAAACTTGGGCAGAATTGATAAATCCGCCATTCCCTCCAGTTGATAAGCACAAGCACTTAGTTGAGCTTCGAATAAACCGATTGCCGATAAAACAGCTCCCACTTCGATCCAGACTTTTAGCCACTTGCCTGCGATCATCTCCGCCGCGTCTGCATGAAACCCGGACCCCCATTCGTTTTGATCGACGGAAACGGCACCGATAACAGCGAAGAGTGGTACGAGGTAGGCTAAGCAAGTGAAAACCACTGCCACTAGAAGAGCTCGAGGGAACGTTTTCTGGGGGTTATCTACTTCGCCGGCGAGAGTACTGACGTTGTCCCAGAAGTTTAAATTCCAGAAAAGGGTGTTGAAGAAGAGATTCCAATCTCTTTTAACACTTCTCTGACCTAGACTGATCCATCTATGGGGTTGGATCTTGGGGATTGCTACGAGCGACATGATAACGAAAGGCGAAAGGGAAACAAGGCCTAGCAAAACAGCACCCCAACCGACGATGGCTAATCCGGTATAATTCACAAAAGATAAAATCACCGTCGACATCAAAATAGAGATCTGGCGAGGCCAGCCTGACTCCAAAGGATGAATGATCTTCTCCAGGTAGTCGACGCAGAGAACCGGGAAAGCGGCGATGTTAATGACACCACTCAAGAACTTCCAGGATCCCATAAGGGACCCGACGAATGGACCGAAGGCACGTTCGGCCCAAATAACGAAGCCTCCGTTACCGGGAAAAGCAGTAGAGAGCTCTGCCGTGATGAGAGCTTCGGGGACGCTCCAGATAAAAGGGAAGAGGAGGAATCCGAGAAGAGCGATAAGGGGTCCGGCAGCCTGGACGGCGGGTTCTTCTCCATAGGGACCGCCGGCAACTTCGAAATAGATGAGGAAGATTAGAGGGATAAGAGTAAGTTTTTTGGGTGTTTTGGGGGGAGATTGGTGGTCAAGGTTTTGTTCAACGTCCATGGACATTGGATCAGAAAACAAGGGTGGCTTGGATGAGTTGTTTAGTAATAATTGTGAGAAGTCAGACGAGCTTTAAGAGTTGCTGATATTTTTTAACAAACGTAGTCAAAAAGGAGGGGGTCGTTCTGCGGTGCGGCGCCTAAAAAACGGTTAATATACGGCGTGACCGGTTAAACAAGTGACCGGTTAAAATTTAGACCGGTTATGTTATATTATTTAACCGGAAATATTATAAAGTACAATAACATACTAGGTAGCGCTTATATAATTTAATAGGTAGCGCTTATATTTACCTATTTTATAAGTAAACCAGTATATTTATACCGATAGCATTGCAAATTTACCTATTACATTATATTATATTGAAAGTGTCCATACTTTTTATAAAAAGGATCGATACTTTAACAGTGTTTCATGTTTTCCACCTACAATATTGATTTAATAATTTCATTTGCACAAAAAATTATTTGATTGTTTTGATATTTTATAAAATATTATTTAGAATTTTTAATTTAATAATAATATATACCGTAACGAAAAAAATAAATCATTAGACGCCTATAATTACTAAATTAATATCTTAAAACTCACTCAAAAGATAACCTTAAATTAATGTTTTTCACAGTGAAAAAAGTATGGACACTTTTATAAAAGGATAGACACTTTACAATAACCATTACCTATTACATTATATAAACGATACCTATTACATTATATAAGGGCTACCTATTACATCATATGTTTACCTATTATATTGAAAGTGTCCATACTTTTTATAAAAAGGATCGATACTTTTTTTAAAACTTATGTAATTTATGTTTCAATTTTTTTAACAGTGTTTCATGTTTTCCACCTACAATATTGATTTAATAATTTCATTTGCACAAAAAATTATTTGATTGTTTTGATATTTTATAAAATATTATTTAGAATTTTTAATTTAATAATAATATATACCGTAACGTAAAAAATAAATCATTAGACGCCTATAATTACTAAATTAATATCTTAAAACTCACTCAAAGATAACCTTAAATTAATGTTTTCCACAGTGAAAAAAGTATGGACACTTTTATAAAAAGGATAGACACTTTACAATATAACCATTACCTATTACATTATAAACGATACCTATTACATTATATAAGGGCTACCTATTACATCATATGTTTACCTATTATATTGAAAGTGTCCATACTTTTTATAAAAAGGATCGATACTTTTTTAAAACTTATGTAATTTATGTTTCAATTTTTTAACAGTGTACTGCGAATTTAAAATGATAATACTTGTAGTTATTGTACATACCTAAATATGTACTGCGAATTTAATGTTGTACCCACCCTTTAACTACAGAAACATGTTCAAAATGAACCTTCGTTTACATATCCATCAACTCCTGGAGCACTGAACTTGCACAACAAAATTTTTGCCATGGATAATACTGATGTAGACAATGTTAAGCCAACCGAGGAATGCCATGAAGTACATAATGTTGATGAATCTGACAGATTGGTTGGTCAGCTCTTCTGTTCACGTGATCAAGCTTGGCACTTTTACAAGGGATTCGCACGGGAACATGGGTTTAGTGCACGTAAGGGAACAACACGGCTTGACGTGGAAGGGAATGTGAAGACACAAGAATTTTGTTGTTCCAAAGAAGGGTTTCGAGTATCAAAAGTCAATACTGTTGATCGTCAACGTGCTCATACGCCAGTCACAAGAACAGGATGTAAGGCTAGAGTCGTAGTTACAGCAACAAATACAAACGATCAGTGGGTTATAAGTAAGTCTGATCAGAAACATAATCATGCATTGTGCACATCTGCTATGACACCATTTATGCGTTCTAATCGAGCTGTAAGTAAGGCTGATATCGATGAGGCAACAACATTGAAAGAGGTCGGTGTTGGCACGTCACAAGTAATGAACTATTTAACGCAGCAGGCAGGGGCTATCATAATGTTGGATTTACACATAAAGACCTCTACAATGCACTTCAAAGAGGTAAAGCAAAGGAAATCGTCGATGGGGATGTGAATGCGCTTATTGCCTACTTTGATTATAAGAAACATGATGATCCCGGGTTTTTTATGACATACTCGGTAGACGAATCGGGGGCATTGTATAATCTTATTTGGTCGGATTCTACATCGAGATCGGATTACACATGCTTCGGTGATGTAATTGCGTTCGACACAACGTACAAAGATAATTTGTATGGTCGACCAATTATGCCTATTGTTGGTGTCAATCATCACCATAACACAATTGTGTTTGCCACTGCCATAATCGCTGACGAAACGTCTCAATCTTTCGAGTGGGTGCTACAGAATTTTTTAGAAGCCATGATGAATAAATCACCTATTTCTGTTGTAACCGATGGGGATAGGGCAATGCAGAGGGCTATCAAATCTGTTATCCCTTATGCTAAGCACAGATTATGTTCTTGGCATATTTCTCGCAATGCACAAGCTAACATTGGTGACCCAAAGTTTACAGCAGCATTCTCAAAATGCATGGCTTCCTGGTGGACAACCAAGGAATTTGATATTCAATGGCGTTCGATTGTTTCAGAATTCAACGTCCAAAAGCATCCATGGGTGATTGAGAAGGGAAATACACGACACTTATGGGCACAAGCATATCTAACCGGTCATTTCTTTGCCAATATTCGCTCAACACAAAGGTGCGAGTCTATGAATGCTTCACTAGCTATTGCACTGAAACACAAGAAGACATATTTAGATGTTGTTCGTGCAATTGAAGATGGAATTAGTAGAATGCGTATGAACGAGTTGAAAGCGGATTACTTAAGTTCCCATACGAAGCCCTTCCAGATCACAAAACTGGTCGACCTTGAAAGCCATGCCGCTGCGATTTTTACCCGCGAATCTTTTCGTGTGTTCCAAGATGAACTTACACGGGAGACATTGTACCGGATTGAGGCAGAGATTAAGTCCTTATCAGATGAATGTCAACATTATATTTTGTCAAAGTACGCAGAAAAAAATAGGAAATTTGAAATTAGTTTTGATTCTCGTACGAAAACTCTAATTTGCTCCTGCAAAAAATTCGAGACCGTTGGACTTCCGTGTCGCCATCAACTTCACATTTTGAAGCAATTGGACTACACATATTTGCCCGGGACTTTGATTCAAAGTAGGTGGACTAATGATGCGAAGGCTTCTGCACCCAGCTATGTTGATTTGAATGTGTCTCCAGAAGTGATGCAAATGGCAAGGTTCGCTGCTCTACGTTCAACGTCAAGTAGGTTATGCTACATTGCATCAAAGACAGACGAGTCTTTCAAAACCGCAAGAGATGAGATGAAAAAACTAATAGAAGAATTAGAAAACTCGTTTGGTTTGAATCATTCAGTCAACCAGAGCATTGTAGTAAACAATGTTCGTGACCCTCAACGAAAACAACGCAAGCGAAAAGAAGTGCCGAAGAACAAGGTCGAGAAGCAAATTAGGCGATGTGGGTACTGCAACGGTGAGGGGCATAACAAACTAACATGTCCTCAAGTCAAGCTTAGTTTGAGTACAAGCACACAGCCTACATCAACTGATTTTTTCGAAGACGGAATGGAATGACAACGATCTCCATATAATATATCGTAAGTATCAACATCACTCCTATTGTATGTACATATAAATATTTTGAATGAAGGAAGAAAAACCTTGTTACTTCAAATTACCGACACTTTTTTAAATGGTATGGACATAAAGTACCGACACAATATTAAAAAGTGTCGATATAGGTTGTAGACCTATTCGCTCATAAAACCGGTATATTTATACCGGTTATATTACAAAATTATCTATTACATTATAATTATGGGTTCCGATGTGTAAAATGTCGACACTTTTTTAAATTATATCGACACAATTTTCTTCCAATATGGACATAAAGTACCGACACAATATTAAAAAGTGTCGATATAGGTTGTAGACCTATTCGCGCATAAGACCGGTATATTTATACCGGTTATATTACAAAATTATCTATTACATTATAATTATGGGTTCCGATGTGTAAAATGTCGACACTTTTTTAAATTGTATCGACACATTTTTCTTCCAATATGGACATAAAGTACCGACACAATATTAAAAAGTGTCGATATAGGTTGTAGGTTGTAGACCTATTCGCGCATAAGACCGGTATATTTATACCGGTTATATTACAAAATTATCGATTACATTATAATTATGGGTTCCGATGTGTAAAATGTCGACACTTTTTTAAATCGTATCGACACATTTTTCTTCCAATATGGACATAAAGTACCGACACAATATTAAAAAGTGTCGATATAGGTTGTAGACCTATTCGCGCATAAGACCGGTATATTTATACCGGTTATATTACAAAATTATCTATTTTATTATAATATGTTGAAAGTGTCCATACTTTTTATAAAAAGGATCGAAACTTTTTTTAAAGATATGTAATTTATGTTTCAATATTTTTTAAGTATGTTTCATGTTTTCCACCTACAATATTAATTTAATAATTTCATTTGCACAAAAAATTAGTTGATTGTGTTGATATTTTATAAAATAATATTAAGAATTTTTAATTTAACAATAATATATACCGTAACGTAAAAAATTAATCATTAGACGCCTATAATTACTAAATTAATATCTTAAAACTCACTCAAATGTATATGTACACATAGAAGCAAATATGGAATAATTAATGAAAATATACATACAATATAATCACACCAAAATTTAAATACACAAGAATGTTCAAAATATACATACAATAATTTTGATTGTGGCTTACGAGATCATTTAATACTCGCGATCGATCCCAGTCTCCAACAACCTATATTCAAATTGTCAGAACGTTAAGTATTGTCAACTACAGCATTCAATCTACGACTTTTAACAATTTTACCACAAACAATTTTTTCTATCCACTTACAAAATCACCAGTTGCCCCTGTAGAACCGATCGATTCCATCCACATCATCACATACATGCCGCAATCATATCTGTTACAAAATTTGAAAACCACACATGTC